GCATTATTAATAATGGATGTATACTTTTCTTTTCTTTCTTTCTTTTTTAAAGAACTGAAATTCTGTGTCTCAAACAGATCTCAGATACAGTTTATGTGGAATGAGAATGAAAATATCAGGATATTCATATTTAAATTGGAGGAATATTATGCAGTTATGTTGCTAACACACTTCTTTCTTGCTTAAGTTAGCTTCTCAGGGATAAGTCTCTACTTTGATTTCAAATGATATTTTTTCTCCATTTATTGCTGCTCTTGTTATATCAATTAAAAAGCAACGACTGAGGTATAGGGAACTTCCTTAGTATTAATCAGACATACAGTAAGGATGCTGAGGAAATATCTGCAATGTGGCTCTTACAGACATTAGAATATAGAAATGGGAATCCATGGATCTGGAGGTATAAAGAAGACAGAGCATAATTACTATATACCTTGTACATGTGTGACAATCAGATAGCTTGAATGATCAGAATGAACTCTATTCAGAATCTGTGGAAAATGTAGCAAAAATGTTATAATAAATAAATCATGGCTATTTGATTTTCTTTTAGTAGCTGAATAGCATTGACAACACATAACTCGATAAGTACTACAAAACCTGTACAAGAAACTGAGAGAATACTGAGGAGGTTAGCTCAGCCTGAACTCTGCTCTGCTTCACTGCCCAGTAAAATTGCTAACCAGTTAATGCAAGCAACACAAGCATGTCAATGTGAACAGTAGTTATAGCTATAATTGTACCATATACAAACTAAAAAAAATGTATGTGTGTGTTCAGATGAATGGGTTTACATATGACTTTAAGGATCCTGACTTTACTGGATTTTACTGAATGTCAGAAAATTCCATTTCGAAAAGTACCAAAGAAACAAAAATGTGACGAGCCTTTGTACATATTGGGGGGAGGGGGGGGGGGGGGGGGGAAAAGGCATCAAAAGAAATGCCTGTAAGTTAATCATTCATTCTTACTGCACAGCAATTCAGGTTCTCAGAGAATACTTGCATATGTCCCCAGATTCCTTTCCTGTTCAGGGCTTAGCTCCAGAGAGCCCAAACATATGAGCAGCATAATCAGCCCTGACTTACAAAGCAAGGCTATATCCACTCCCCATTCTCATGCATCTAGCTGAAAAAAGCCCTCCCAACCTTGGCATACAACTTTAAGCTCCTCAGCCTTCAGGCATATAAGTCTTAAACATACAACAACACAAAAGAGAAATCTCATTAATCCACTATTTAAAGTCCAGTGAGTGACAGAAAAAGTTCACCTTTCATATCCACAGACCAAAAGGTACACCACGAGAGAAAGGTCACTTTGCCAATGAAACTCTATATTGTAATCACCTAGAAGTTCAGGCTCCAGACTCATTCAGTAGAGTAAACTTGGATTCATGGCAAAGTAGAAAGAAAATTTAAGAATCAATTCAAAGTTTTAATAATTTTCAGTATGCCTCTTGCAATAAACATTAATACACTATTATTTTTTTCTTTGAATTCTAAGCCTGTATTTCAGAGCAATCTTTCAATGAGGTCAAAGTTCTTTATAATTTTCTCTTTTCTTACAAATCCTTGTGATATAATTCATCAATATAGTGAAGTCATTACATGAGTAGAGAAGGGAAAATTTGAACTAAAAAGAAGTAACTATTAATTAAAATATGTAATGAAGAATGTATATATTAATACACCAGAAAGGGTGTAGGTATGTAACTGTGCAACAACTATGAACTGCTTCACAGAGATTAGAAGGAGTCAACCAGTGATGGGAAAGTAAAAGCAGGAAAATGCCACGCTCCAAAATGTATCACGTTGCACAGGTCTCAGAGTATGATTGTGGCACCAATAGAATTAATGTATTCTGAATTAGAACTAGAAAAGACACTTGCCTATAAGTATGGAAAGGAAATGTCCTTCCTACAGAAAAAAAAATAAGCCAAACTGCTCTTTTGCCTGTTAAGTACTTAAAGAAAAAAGTCCTGTTTTTTTCTTGATGTGGAAGGTTAGATTACATTTTAGGTCACTCAGAAAGATTAAAAATAAGTAACATGCTTAAAATTATCCACCTGCAAAGCAGATTGCTTTCTTAAAGATCAGCCAGTCTGAATCTAAATCACTTCATCCTCAAGCCAGATGAAAACACGGAAGTTATACTCAATTCACTCAGACCAATCCTGTCCTGGAAGTTCCCCACCCGAGACAACTGAGGGATGATACAAATGAATATGTTGTTCATGGTGGCAGCAAAAACTTCCAAAAAGGACTTGTGCTTAAAACACAAATTTAAGTGCAGGTAATGTACCAGCACAAAGTTCTGAAAAAGTGATTTATGTTTTGGAAAAACTTGGTGTTTATCTATGAAAGTGTTGATAAATTAGGATATATTTAAGATCCACCAGGCTGGGAATCATGAAGAAAAAAATATCATGACTTATGATTGGAAAGCAACTGTTTCAGCAATGAAATGGACTGATCATTGCCTATATAAATAGAGGTGAGCCCAGAACTGAAATGGAAAGCAGCTAAGGTAGATAGAGAAAATGTTCCTGCTTGAATGATGCTGACATCCTTATTTTTATGGGAGAAACCAGCACTATATTAATATTACTGTCAGTGAAAACAGAATTTAAAAATAATTTATCTTTAAATAAGCAGATATAGTAGTCTATGAAATTCAGCTCTTGTCAAATAATCTTATTAGGAATGCTAAAACAAACAAACAAACAAATACAAACAAACAACAAAAACAAACCACCAACCCAGCCATCAGCAGGAACTCAAATGCTTAGAACGAGATTGATATTATTATTTTTGTAGCCAGTCTGAACAGAGGCTATTTTACAACAGTGATAGGTGCTGAGGCTCCCATGAAGTTTTATGAGAAGGCAACTAATTATAAAATTCTTAAGTAATAATTGCATTTTTGAAATCTGAAGAAGGAAGAGGCACACTTAATTCTGATGTGACTTAGAAATGTGTAATACTGTTAAATTTGCTCCAATACAAACATACAATCACACGATACACATCAAAAAAGTGAATTGGAGAAGATTCTTGAAAAATTATTCTTTTTCTTGTTTTCCATTTTAGACTTTTTGGAGGAAATAAAATGTAAATTTACTTTACACCTTTTTATTTCAGTGTCTGAAAAGCTTTGAATAACAAACTAATAATTATTTTGATGCTAGTTGTAGATCTCATGAATTGAGATTTCTCATGTTTTGAGAAAATTGGTATGGAGATTTTTATTTCTTTCTCCTTTAAAAACAGCAGAATTATTAAGTGGCTTGATATTAACCTGGCAAAAAAAATGTTCTGTGAAACTGGAGCTTGCTTTCTTTCTTTATGCAATTTGATTTACTGTGTTGGCTTGGCTTTCCTGCCAGCAGAAAGTATTCTTGCTAATTTATCAAAGTAGTGTTTGCCCACAAGATTTAATAGCAATTAACAGAACACTGTTGGCACAATTGCACTGTTGGCAATGAAATACACAAATTATTAAGGCAGATTGCATGAATAGAGTTTAAAGGAGTTATAAGTTGAGAGCTTATTTTTACTCAGACATGCCTTTGTCATTTATGCATGCATGTCAGTTATCCCTCTCATATTCCTAACACGTTCGTTTTTAAAAGCAAGTACCAGAGAAAAGTATTGGACAACAAAAATGGTCCAAGTAAGCACCTTTTATTCTCCCATTCATTCATTTATTCATAGGTACAATATTATGAAGCTGAGCACTAAAAGTTATCATAACACTATATACTTAAAAAAAAAAAAAGATACTCGGGGGGAGAAGCAAGCATTAATATCATTGTGTTTTCTACATGAAAGAATTAGTAGCGTAGTTCATCAAGCTCTGAAGACAAACTTTCTTATGACAATGTGTCAAGTGTGCATGCACTTGCAGGAATTATGCATACATATTGATCACAGAATAGAAACTTTAGCAGAAACATTTTCTTAGTTTATGTCCGAGTTATGAAGACAAGGGATGACTGTCCTACTTCCTGTATCTGTTTTTGTTTTGTTTTGTTTTGTGGTTTTTTTTTTTTTTTGCTTCAACATGTTGACATAGTCAAATTTATAGTCTAAAATATAATGCTAATATTAATAATAATGTCTTATCAGATCCTGCCACCAGCACTTAATCACAATTCCAAATTAATCAAGAGTTCTTCTTGACTAAAATCTAGAACCCCTATTCCCCAGACAGGGTGAAGCTCCTGACTGCCAGTGACTTAGGTGTACTGATCAGTCACAATAATTTTGTAGATCAGAGTAATATGTGGTTTTGGTTATGGCTGCATATGAGTAAATTTATTCACATGAATCACAGAATCACAGAATGCTCTGGGTTGGAAGGGACCTTAAAGACCAGCTTGTTCCAACCCCCGCCGAGGGCAGGGACGCCTCTGACCAGCCCAGATTGCCCAAAGCATCCACAGCTTCTCTGGGCAACATGTTCCAGTGCACCCTTTGGATATTCTTCACAAATATTCCCATTCCCAATTATTAATACCCAACAAAAATATACGTATATATATTCTTCCAAAAATCAAATATCAAATAGGGCTACTTTAATGCAACATACCCATGTGCTTAATCATTTAAGGTACCGATACAAAATATTTCTCAGAATTAAGAACTTTTGCATTGACTCTACAACTTACTTCAACTGTAGCAAAGTTTTATTTCTTCTGCCTTATTATAACTCACTACATACCTGTTTTTCTATATTTACCCTATATTTACCCTATATACCCTCTATAAATGTCCTTGTATATCCCTTCAAACTCTATATTACTTTATTCACGGAAACAAGTACATTTTTGAAAACCAAAAGAAATGGAACCTTATCAGAAATTAAGTTTTCTTTCAAAAAATGTATGCTTTAAAAATCCAGTGTTTTACTTATATACAGTTTCCACTGCATGCACTGATAAAACTAATTAGAAAGCCAACAGAAAATCACAAAATCACAAAAAAGTCACAAATACTTACTAGTTTCAGTAGCTACAATAGTTATGTTGTGCCACATATTTGTTTCTCTGTCCAGTGGTGTTGCCAAAGTTATTTTCCCATCTTCTGCATTAATGTTGAACTGTCTCTCAAGGTCAGTATGGCGATCAATGGAAAACCTACAAAATAGACATTCCTGTAATCTACTTAATGAAGTTGGTGTAGTCCATACAATCACAAGACAATTTATGGAGCCCTCTGAGAGCTGCAGTTTTATAGCAAAATGGATTGAGAAGCTCAATTGTATAAGACAAAATGACAAACTGAGACTAAAAAAAATAATATTTATTATTGCCCAAGGAGTAGTTAGCTGTATACCCAGTATGAAGGTCATAAAATGCCCTCAGGTTCACTAGGTAACATCTTTGACAAACGGTGCTGATCAACAGTTAATTATACAATCCATCTCATTTATTAGACAGTTTCTATGGTATTTCACAGTAACTGTTGATAATTTCAAGAGTAATGTATTAAGCACACAAAAACGGTGGGCTTCATGGTTATTTTTAAAAAAGGCTGAATGATGTTATTTTACTAACAAATTTCAGATTAATAAAGCATGGACTATTCACCATGCATATTATTTGGTTACGGTTCAAGAATCTCCACGGGCAGAAGGCAGTGAATCACCGTTTACCTGTAGAACACTTCAAACACTGAAGGAGCAATTGTTTTACAGACTGACATCACTGATTTTTAACAAAACAAGTTCTATCCGACAAGTAGTCAGAGTTTGCAAATGTGAATTTCCAGGTAAATTATGCAGCCGAAACAGAGCCAGCTTGAGAGGAAAGAGCTGCCATAGATTGCTCCAACAGTGCATTAAGCAGGATGATGATTTAAAGCTCAGGACAAGATCTCCAGGAAAGCTTTTATGTTTGCCCATTTTCAGAGTTATTTTATTAATGTATTATTTGTAAAAGGAAACTAAATCACAAAATTAAGCTTTCCAATTTTGCGATAGGAAAAGGTACAAAATGAAAGAGTTTATCACTGAACTATTGATATAGTTCAATAAAAATTGACTTCAAGGGTTTTTAGTGAATCCTAACTGTGGCTTTATATAAAAGCCTTTTAAGCCTTTGTGTCTATGTATTACAGAACCTAACAGCACGCACTGACAATTTTGCATCTGTTCTGCATTATATCTAGGCATAATAGGGTGAGTTAGGATACAGTGTCAGACTGGATTACATTATGTAGTGGCCAGAATAGTGACTCAGACTGCCAGTTTCTCATTACACTTCTACTTTTTTCACACACACCGCTAAACTCAGCGATAAAAGAGTGAGAACATATTTTGCTACAATGTCAATGGCACAGTTATCTGAAAATCATTTATGCCACTGTTTTATGTTACCATAAGCAAATTTAAAAAAATAAATATCTGATTCTGAAGTTCCTCTATATGCCACAATAAAAACTTCCGAATAATTCAAACTCATTCCAACAAAACACCTTTGCTTTCAATGCATGTGTAGCATTAGGTTCTGATGTCAAAGTTTAGGATTGTAGCTTTCACCTTTTTTATTTCAATGTCAAATAATGAGTTCATATTTAGAATAAAAGATAATGTTGCAATTAGGGCGCTTGTGCAATGGATTCAGTAAGATACAATTGATTTTCAAAAATTAGCTCAAAGTTACAACAAAGTTAGTGCAAACGTTAACAAACATTTGGTAATGTTATTACCAAAGATCAAGACTAGCATAGACACACTGGTAAGGAACTTAACAAATAATAGACTTACAAATGAATCCCCCTGTTAAACAAGGAAAATGTGATTTGCTAGACATTTTTCTATTTTTAAACTCTCAGAAGAACTAGTTTTACTCACTTTAAAAATTAGTAGTTTCATTAAAAGGTACGATACAAAAATATGAAATCAAATTTCAAGTATATTCAATGCCTAAAGTTAGGCATGCACATCTATATTTGGACATTCAAGTAAACTGATTTTCTAGTGAACTCCACATATCACTTCTCAATGGTTTAATATGAACTGTACTACCGTCAGCATTTCTGAAATCAGGTCACTTATATGGAGGAATAAAGATGTAGGTGCCTAACTTTAGGCAATCATACTTGAAAATGTATTTTAACCTTACTTTAATGTCTCCTTAGTTCCCATTTAAGTATCAGAAGTAAACTTCTGGTACTAGTGAAGTTGATAAAAAATATCTTACAGACTTACAGGTTTAAACTTAGAGATTTAAAATTGCAATCAATAAAAAACAAAACAAAACAAAACAATAGAAAACAATCAAAGTAACTCATTTTTAAGATCTCATTACTTAAAGCCAATCTTTTAATTCTTGAAGTTTATGCAGAAGTGACTATCAGAGTACAAAACTTTTATGAATTCTGACAGTCCACAAAGAAAAAAAAATATGAAATGCTTATATGCTATTTAGTCGACTTGGACTTGACATAAACTTCATTGTGGGTAAGATGCATTTTTTCCTCTAAGGATCAATGCTTTTTTAAATATCTGTGAGTTTATTATATTGCATTTCATCTCATCCCAACAGTATTTATTCACAATGCAAAAACAGCACTCAAAATGAAACAGTTTTAATGAAAGTTTCACAGGTTTACAGGACTACAAAGAGGTAAAACCCTCTCCTGATTTTAATTTGATAAATATTTGGTACAAAATAAAAAACGAAATTTGCCAAGTCATAAACCTGGGAATATTAATAGTACGCTTGCAGTTTCCTTTTCATGATAATGGTATTATAACTCTTTTTAATGGGAATGCATTGTCAGATCCATAAGCTAAACATGAAACATACATTTCTCTAAAAATGAGAAAAGAATATCTTGGGAAATAATATCTGTTAAAATTGCCATAAAACCAGTGCAGGTTATTGGGAGGTTTTGGTTAGTTTATAGGTCTGCTATGGCAATTATAGGAACAATCCCATAGTGGTTTAACAGAAGATTTAAAGTGATTCATAGTCTTTCTCCCACACTACTGATACTGCTGTTATGACTTAATTTGATCTATTCTTTATTTGAACCAATCTAAATAAGAGCTGAAACCCTTTTTTGCTGCACCTGCTGAGATTTGAATCGCAAGACTGATACCCCATCAGTGGTAAATCACCATTGTTTATTAATGCCAGGCAGACAGGACAAGCTACTTAGTGACTGATAAACAGCTGCACCATTAGGGAGGCAGAAAATAACGTATCTAGATTTTTAAGGCCTGCTGTGAATTAAGAAAATGATCCACTACTGCCAAAGATGAAATCTCTTCCAATATGAATGGGGAAAACCTGCCACAGTGAAGCTTATCTCTCCATAGAGAAAGACACTGAAAGGCAATGATTTATAGGAGGGCAGAGACAGTATAGGAAGAAAGATTATTACTCATGCTTTTTGCTATGCACTTGGATCAAGCTTTATCCAAGATAATTTATTGCAGATAAAAAGACCATGGTTATAAAACAACAAGAGAAACATGAAATAAATACTACTGGAATCACTAGACTTGTATGCTAATAGATAATGATCTTTCAAGCCTTATTATACAATAAGCCAGGATGTACCACCCTTACTAAACTACAGCAAAGTTTTACAAATAGCTCAGCTGAATCCTCTGGTTAATTCCATTATTGAGAAAGATGCATGTGGTCTAGATGTGGTAAAATGTGAGCTGACCATGTCTACAATTATTAACAGAATCTGTAAATCTTTTTCACAATCAGGTTTAAAAGTTTGTATATTAAAGAATACGCACAGCAGAATAGCAAAGAAAGAGAAAAGAAAAATATTGCTGCTTATGAAAATAGCACTGGGTTATGAAAGACATGATATATTTGGACTAACCTAAGAGCTGAAATGAAAAGATGGTTCACATTCACTGGAAAAAAAGGATAATGAAATCATAACTCAACTAAACACTGCATTATCACTTAGTCATTCAAAGATGCTCTTCCACTATTATGGTTAAACGTCAAAAATATGAAAGGTATCATGCAACATATGCATCCTTTAGTCCCATCCATCTAAAAATGCCTAAATTTCAAAGATTTTTGACTGATTTCAGACCAATAACCAGAGTCACAACCCTTCATTCAACACAGCATTGCATAATAACCCTACAGGGGTATTTCCTTGTGATGGGCTTATTGAGAACCAGACTGGTAAACCACCTATAGACCCACTCACTCACCTATGAAGGGCTTTATGCCCTTCAGATAAAGTGAGGAAGAGATCAGATGATATGTTTCATCCCTTCTAAGCAAGTGTAACAAAAAAAAAGCACAGTTGTACTGGATGAGGTTAAACATTTTTTAAAAAAAGAAGCATTGGAGAAGAGTTTCTTTCCAGTCTGTTTCCTATAATTTTTCTAAGCTCTTTACTGTTTTTGTTTGTTTGTTTGTTTGTTTTCTTGTGAGTCAATTATCAGACTAATAATTCCATATTCAGAGACAACCATGTTTTACTTCATTTATTAAACTTCAATACTCTGAGTATACTGAGACTGTGTATAAAACTAATGTGAAGCAGATGCAGTATAGGTAGCACATAAGGTGATTCTCTAAGGTGATTTGTGTTGCTAGGATTTTTATAACAAATGTATACAAAAGCTCTGTCCAACCAAAATATTAACAGAACAGATACATACTGAAAAATATACTTTCCTTGAAATGTAAGTGTTTTTTGGTTCCAAAAATTCTATTTTAAGGAAAACACGTTAAAAATGACAAGGGAGTATTCAAACACTCCTTTGTTTTTAGAACAGAATATTTTAATTCTGTTTTACAAAAATTCTAACTTGTTTTTGATATTTTAGAAAGTGTATCATAAAAAGTAGATGGATACAGAGAAATTACATCATATTCCTGATATACTAACAGAATAAACAATTGAAACATACAATCAAATGAAACATTCTAATCCAAAAAAAATGTTTCCATTTTTTTTCCATAATCTATGTTCCTTTTTTTTCCAGAACCAGAAAGTAGCTATATTTCTGCTCGCTACTTACCTCTGATGAATATTTTTGCTTCTATAATAGTAAAATTAATAACTTAAAAATTCTCTTTTTGCCTTGAAATATTTTTCATGCAAAAACCGGATTTGGTCTTTCCAGAACAATCCCAAATATATCCAGATTAATCAGATGAACAAAGAAGAAGAAAAAAGGAAGTTGCATAGATAATTGTGTGTATTCCTTAATTATCTATCATGCCAATGCCACGGAAAAATTACAAGATAAAATTTTAAATTACTATATATATTTTAAAATAAGATATAAATCATACTAATTACGAAGATGTTTTTGTTTCAATGTAATTAATTTTTGCCCATTCTCTTTCATGCATATCAATTGTTTCTGTATGATGTGATAAAATAATTATGTTCTAATTCTGTTTACACATATGAAATCCTTTTCCTTTCAAAAGTTTGAAAATACTTTGATCTTTAAAATGATGAAAAAAATGGAGATGTGGTAAAGATTTTACACATCTCAATTTTTTGGTCTTGATGAGAATAAAAGGGCTCAATTTCAGGGTATAAAAATGCCTGTAGCTGAGCTAAACTACTCAGAGTTTGAGGCAGGATTAGAGAAGACCAAGGAAACAGAGCAAGAGTGGCAAAACAGTCAAGGTAAAACTGAAGCAGAGTTGAAGCTAGATGGAGATAGGAACAAAGAGGACACGTTCAGGGAGCAAAGGGGCATAGGACAAAGCCAAATGCAGAACAGAATGTGGAAGAGGCAAAGAACTAAGGCTTGATTGAAAAGAAATGATGAGTATCAAACTGAAGTATTTGAAGAAAGCCAACTTGCTGCCACCACATCTGGTTTCACACACCTTTCAAAAGACCCAGTTTTTAGTGGCACATCAGTGTCAGCAGTAATAAAACTGGGGATGGAGCCACTGCTTAAATTGTGATAGATCAAACTGTGTGCATTCTGTGTTATACCTTTTCCTGTTTACTCAACACTATTTTAATCTGGGTAACTACTCTTATTAATTTTCCATTTTTCTGACCTGATGACCATCCTTGATTGTCCTGAGAGCTTCTCTGGTATGAAAACAGAGTAAGCATGTGTTACTGGGCTGTGTACTGCAGTAGCAAGTATATCATTCAATTACTAATTTTATGTAGCAAGATTTGATAGTCAATGCTAAATTTTACTAGGTTTGAAAGGATGATTCCAGGCAAGATACTCCATCTGCATGCACAAGTTCTAATATATTCGGAATGTCTAATTCTGAAAATACTAAAATATGCTATGCAGCATGTAGGCCCCCTAAATAAAGGTTTAAAGTTTGGCTCTGCAACAAAGATAATGATTAGAAAATGTACATAAGCATCATCTTCACAACACTGACAACTGTTTGTGTAGTTTATATTCTCTATGGCAGCAGTGTACAGTGATGATTATTAAATAAACTCTCCAAACATACTTTTACTATTAAGTTGACATTTTGGTGTTTCATTTTAGAATGCTTTTAGCAGGCAGTACTATATATAGTAAAATTTGGTTTGAAAACAGTCGTGTCACTGTTTAACTAAAGGGGAGGGAAAAATGTGATCTCATGAAATGAGATAGAAAGTACACTGATCTGATGAAACGGAAATAAGAGATTTTGCTCAAGTTAGATCAAAAAGGGAAAACATCGCAAATTGAAGATGTAAAAATCATATGGGCATAATCGTTTCAGACTTCCTATGATTAAACCAGGAATATGTCTCGCCAAAGGAATACTAAATATGGTTTTACAATCTTACAACTACATGGAACAAATTCAGTATATTGTTAGTGCAGAAACTAGTGGAATATTTAAAGTAAATGCAGAGATATACACTGATGAGCCAACCCCACTGGACCTTATACCCCCCTATTTCTTATTTTCATTGCACACTTACTGCTTTATAAGATTATTCATGTAGCAAGGAATATTTATGTGATTTTGGAAATTACCTGAACTGATAAGTATAACACCTCATAAAACAAAGAAATCCTATGCCAGTATTTTATAGAAATAAAACAGAGAGAGAACATACATACAATGTATGGGAAAACATAGCATACTACCAGCAGTGTTTTCCTATGAGAACTTTAGAGTAGCACTACCTTATAGGACTGGAAGACACATCGGGGTCATGGGCAGTCACCTGACCAATCACAGAGTTAATAGCAGCATTTTCATGCACTTCCAGTAGGTAAGTAGGTGATGAAAAGACTGGTGGCTCATCAGCATCCTCTACTACAATTTTTACTGTTGCTGTATCCTTGAATGGTCCTCCACTGATGAAGCGAGGATCAATATGAATGTTGGCTGCTTCTACCTTCAGAGTATAGGATTTTTTGGTCTCAAAGTCCAGTGGCTGTTCAGAATGACAAAGATAAATGTCTTTTTACTAATGGCCAAAGAGAAAGAGCAAATTAATATAATGCTGATGGATGAAAGTCATGTGTATTTAATCACATTCAGTGAGTTTTAATACATCCCCTTCCCACTCGCAAAAATTCAACCTGCAAATTTTCTAGGCATATATTGATATCTGTTCATTAACCAAGAGAAAAAAATACTCTTTGTTTTCTTGTTTTTCAGAAAAAAATTACCACAATATTCTCTCTCATGAATAATACTACTACAATTACATATCAGATAAATACTGCAAATTTGCCTGTGATGACATGACTTGCATACTAATAATATTCTTAATCAGTGCTTTGTTAGCTGTAGATAAGAAGAAAAAAAGAAAAAAAAAATATTATCTCCACAAGGAACAAATATTTTATTATTTCCAGAACTATGTGAGAAATTCAAAGAACTAGCAATTATTATTTGTTGGACAGGAGAGGCGTTAGGTGGAAAAATTTAGAGCTAATCATATAAGAAAGTACTTCAATATTATTGCACTTCAGATAACTCTGCATTTCTGTTTATAGGGCTAAATGAGGTAGACATCTCTCAGGAATTTCTGACAATTGTAGCAATTCCTATTTCTGTACCTTATTTTTTTTTCAGAGAGAGAAACACGAAACCGATTACTTTATTCTTGCAATATACCTTCCGTGTCACCATTGTTTTTACTATTTTACAGCTTCATATTAAAACATAAAAGATGAAAACACAGTGGATTTAAAGAAATGAAATACCAAATAAAAACCAAATCTGTGACACTTCTGAATATCAGAATTTTTCATTATAGGAGATTCAACTTTGTGTCATGAAGCACATCAGTATATTCACTATATAATTCTCTTGTGTCTCACAATGATTCAAGTTTCAAAGATGCAAATTGCCAAGCAGTGGAAAGATATTAAGATTTGCATTACAATGTCCCAGGGATAGAAAGCAAAGGACACAGAATCTGTCTGAATCTGCAATGCAAATACTAGCAAGAACACAAATAGGAATTACAAAACTCTTTTAGGAAGTCTGTCAAAGCCTTCAGTATGTATACTTTTGAATTTTGTTGATTTTTTCTTCAGGTATGAAGCAAGCTCTAGTGGGATTTGCTCTTTCTCACAAATTCTAGTAAACATGAGAAAACCTTGCTTCTTTACCAGCTCTTAAATTTGCAAGCTTTTGTAATTACGAATGGTGATTTATAAATCAGCATATTCACAATTTGCTAATCATAGCTACTGTATCATTTTTTTCAACTGCTTTTCATGTGCTTTACAGAAATGACAGTACCCCAATACATATAGTCATTCTTAATCAGACTATCATATTGAAAATTTACTCTGCATTGTCTAAAACTCATGCATTTATGCTGGAGAAAATCTACTGGTGAACAGTACCCTACATACATCATCTACTGTAGTAGAAACAAAATGATTATTGCTGTCAAAATGAATATATGAAACAACATTATGTTACAGTCTTAGTTATGAAATAAAGCCAAGGGAACTGGGGCAAAAGGCTAATTGCCTTAGTGTACAAAGGAGGCCACAGCATACAATAAATAACAATAAGGAAGATCAAGGATGTATATCATAATTTTCTCTTTAGGATAACAGATCTAATTTTAGATAAATATACATAATTTTATTACACTATTATACTTCTAGAGTTCTGTCCTCCTCACTGAGAAACAGAAAATAAAAACTTCCAACAGCCATCATTCTGTCTGACCTCTTTAATCACAGGTACAAGTTGAATATTAATTACACTCAGGTACTCAGGTACTTTTTTTCATTGAAAGCCACGCCTTTTTTTTTTTTTTTTAAAAAAAAAAAAAACACTGAATCATTTAGAGTGCTCTGTGCTACATATTTAAAACCCTCCATGCCAGTGTTATGAGTTATATTCATATCCTTCTTTGGAACACAGCAGGGGAATCTGTTCTCTTTTCCTTCCCCCAAAATAATGAAAATGAAGCCTGTAATTACTGTTTCATTGACTTGAATAGCTAAACTGTGTTCTAGATATGCTGTCTTTCTCCACATTTCTGTATATAATTGTGTGTTCCTTCTGTTGTGTATTCATAAATACCTTATCTTGCATACATCAAGATTGTGTAAGCATAGAAAAGGTAACAGAGTCGTAGCCTTCTCTACAGCCCAAATTCGGCATTTCTCATGTTAAACAGTACTGATGTCCTTGATAAGGTTCACTGAAATCATTATTCATTGAGCAAAGAGAGTTCAAGAGAAAAGTTGGAAGATTTAGCCTCTTACACATCAGGTAATTTAAATAATAAGCTATGATACTTTTTCTCTGAACGGTATCTGCCCAACTATACAACAAATGAAATCATAGAGAAAAGTACTCAAATGAGATTTTTTGAAAGTGTACATCATCAACAAAGGAAATTCTGATCTACTCTTCCCTTTTGGAGCCAAGGAAGCAAAATCTGTATCATTTGAGCACGTGAAGCAGTGGCTGGACTCAGGAAGACCAGACAAGATTAATATGTGTCCAGAACAGAAAATACTGCCATGGAGGTCTCCACAGTTGTCACCTAAATGGTGCTTCTGAGGGATGTGGCTTATACACCCCTACATTTATCAATTCACTGGCTTAACACCTCATCTGCAGATAAAAGAATCCTTGAAAATCCAGCATGTTCTCACAGAGGACAGTCCGGCTGGGTAGCTGTATGTGCAATAAACATTTTTTTAAGAGATAGAGTTTACCTTTCTCACTCTAATAATGCCATCCTGAGTTTGGGCATCTGTAGTGATTTCAAAAATATCCATTCCATCTCCTTCAATAATATCATAGGATGACTTAGCATTTTCTCCAATATCCAGGTCATTTGCTTTCACTCTTCCTATAGGTTCCCCAAGAGCAACATCCTCCATTACTGAGAAGTGATACATACCTTAAGGATAAGAGGAAAAGACCAAATATTACACCTGATTCCAGTATCTCTTGTGTGCTCTTCATTTGTTTATACTACCCCAAAGCAAACTTGAGATGTGCAACTGATACAAATAACATTTACACGGGTTACTTACTGAAAGCAGCAAAACATGTTCCTTACATATTAACGTTCAGTTTACTGCACATGAACGTTCCTTTCATTGTAGTAGTACCCTGCCTCCTGCTTGCACAGATTCTCACTGCTGCTGAACATAAGTATTAAGCTACTTTCAACACTGTAAATATGTCATATGATGTCTACTGCAGATACTGCTGAACTGCAGATACTGCTGAACTTACCTTTTTATTTACAGACTTGTAACTATATTTTTGATGGAATTCAACCACAAAACCTTAGTTTTTGCTCTGCAGAAAACTCACCTAATATGGAAAAGGTGCCATTTAAAACTTCAGATCTTTGCTACTTTTTTTTGTCTCTTATCTTTTTATTTGAACTGGTTTTGTTCTTTTAAGCCCTTTTGCAATAAGAAACTCCTCCATAAACACTCAAGGAAACTCACGAACTTTAAGTTGTAAAGGAAGCGATATTTTTCCACTGTATTCATTACTGTGTCTCCTATTTGTTTATAGGTATAGATTAAATCCTAGTACAAAGTGCTATTCAAATCCTCAGCATTTTTATTTTTTGTAATACTTGCTTCAAACCATGTGACCTAAAACGTTTCAAAAATCTGTTGTGAAATTCTAATATTTTAGGTAAGCGGTTTACTAAAAGAAAGAGAAAAATACCCATTTTATTATTACACCTCACAGTGCTTAGCATCACTTTGAAAACAGAAGACATGCATGTTTTACATCAAAAGTTCTTTATGGGATGCCTATCTTTTTTTGGCTCTTGGTAATTTACCATGTTTGATGCTATGGTTAGTATGTGACTTAACCAACTGTGGTGATATTTAGTAGTTAAAACAATCAAAAAGGAACTCAAGGTTAGGAGATGAAACTGGTAAAAACAATATAAATATTATATGATAAATGGTGCTGGACTTGTCCTTTTCTTTCTTCACAGTTGTTTTAAGACAACTTGTAGTTTTTAGTGTAATGTGCAGCTTTTCTAGTGCTTAGTTTTCTAAAGCCAAAATATCCTGGTGTTTTTGCTGAAACTGTTTGTAGGCCAATTACAACAGCTACAGTTGAAAGTATGAAGGAAAACAAGAGTAATTCATGAATACCTATAGTGATTTTTTTTTTCTTTTAAGCTTCTAGGCTAAATTATTAGAGACAATTTGGGACCATCAACATTCCTCAAGAATATTCCCAATAGCTCACAAACAACAAGCAGGAAAAGCAATCCTACAGAAAGTGCCTGCACAGACTAAATTACAGATTTGTAATTTAGACTGCTGTCCACATTTTGTGGCTTGACTCTCCAGACGCAGTTGATTGCATTTTCTGGTTGATATTTTTTCTCAGACTTATTAATGTAGTTTAGAAAATACTGTAAAAATGTTATTATGATGTAAGTGACTCTTTTACATAAATTGCTCTCAAGTGTTATGAATTGTTCTGTCAAGATGTTATAGTTCAGAGCTGACCAAAAATCCACATTATGCTTCTTTGAAACCCTTTGGTTTTCACAGCAATGCACAGTTCTTCTCAGTATAATCTACAGTAAACTGCCAGGTCAAAAACTTCAATGACTTATAAAATGACTCTAAAATGATCTTAAAGAGATCACAGAAGTAGTGAAAGTTCATCTTTTTCATTTTCAAAACCCAGGAGGCTAACACTTTTTGAAATCTAACCATAAATATACATTTCTGTCCTGCCTGGAAACAATAAACCGATAAAACACAGTGCTTTCTGAGTTCATTACAATTTATTGTGAAAGCAGCATGTATTACATCTTATGAATTTCTATTTCATTCCAGTTAGGCTCTATTGTAAGTTTGATCCTTTCTTATTTTCCTTTCCAGGCAAATGCCAACTGTGCTTTAACAGTGTAAAAAATGCTACAGATTTGATCAGCTCTTGTATAAGGTTAGAGTCATGACTAATCTGCAATGTTAGGCAGCATGCTCGGAATACTCAGTTTTAAAAGGCAGAATTTGTAATAGAATCCAGTTTAAATATTTACTATGGCACATCCTCATTAAATGCAATATATACATAACATAAAACTATAGTACATGCATTTTTTTCCTAACGAAATTGCATAATTGTCAGAGTTCTAACAGGGTGGTTATTCCTAGAAGGTAGTTTGAATTCTGTGCTGGAATCCACTAGCTGTAACAGCTTCAAAGACAGCAACCCACTCTTTGTTGAAGGAAAACTAATCTGCATTTTCCACATTAAAAATATATTTCAGGGATTTGTGATGCAGTCTTCCTCAGCCTAGCCAGTCAACATGTCACTGTAACCAAACTACAGGAGAACAGATATGAGTAAGCTGCACGGGGAAAGCACAGTTTCATCTCCACATGCATTCACTCCTGTGCTTCCTGCTGAGACCTCCAACAAATGTACCAATTAGTACCAGTTGTGTTGCTGATTTTCTGATCAGCTTTTTTTGTACTGGCTGGCAAAGACTTTATGACATAGAAAATGCTGATACAAATACAAAAGCCAGGTAAGCTGGCAGAAGTAGATGCGTAGTCACAGAGTTAGAGCTACTGTACACTGCAGGCAAGAAATGTTCCTCTGTGTCCTGGTGATATGGTTCAGCCAGGAGTCTCATCCATAGATATTCACATTATTAAGGGACTTTATTAAGGGACTTGTCATCCTCTGTTGGAAAATACTACCGTACAAGTGCAAGCCATGAGTTCTCAAAGTCAAAAATACGTGCATTTCATATTTTATAATAAGAATATCTTTTATTGTGCATAGAGCAGTTATCTGTTAAAAACACTATGCAGAGGTAATATAATGCATATTTTTTTCTGAATAAGCTTTTGCCTCTGCTTATTTTTTTATTTTTTTTATAATTCTTTGTATACATATATATATCTGTATGTGCTTTTTCTAGACTATGAGGAAGTATTTATCACATGCTGAGTACTAAGACACCTATTTCTCTCTTTATGTCTTCAGAACAGGGCAAAAGTGGATTTTGCCCTTTGTGTAAAAGAAATCATTTTACATTTGGTGCATAGGTACCTTGTTAGAAAAACATGCTACTAAAAAAGTAAAAATGACACAGTCAAGATATGAACTCTCTCCAAACCTAATATAGGCTCTTAATACCTTAAAACAAGTGTTTCCAGAACAAGCTGGATAAAAAAGTAAGTTTCTAATAGGATATTAGATTGCACCTGTTCCAAACAAAATCGATCCAGTCATTATGCTCTTCCCTTTTCTTTTTGTCTTCATCTTTGATATAGACTACAAAGCTTGTAGAGAATCTCAGCATGATGCCAAATCATTTTAACCTAGCCCAGCAAGACATCCATTGGAATTACAGTAGTAAATATGGATTTGGAATTAAAGATCAACAATTATCTAGACGTAAAAGACGTAAAAACTTATTTTTCTTTGTTTTCTTCATTTTTACCTAATTAGTCAAACCTTTTTTTTTTTTTTTTTTTTTTAATCAGTTTCAAATGTCTTTTACTGGTGGTGTCCTTTGTCTACAAGAGATGGAAGCATATACAAAAGCAACTGAAACTAGCACTTAGAAACAACTGCACTGAAAGCAAAAACCACCCAAATAAAAAAAAAAAAAATAATTCCCCAAGCCCTTTTGTGTACAAGAGATAACACGGAAGACAGAGGGCTGTGTACACTGTTATGGGCATAATTCCCTCCTTCCTTAGAGCTCTTAATCAGGCAGAGGACTATTAATCTTTCTCCAGTAGCAGCTACAGATTTTTAAATTACATCACAAACCCAGGCAATATGATGATAAAAAAATCTGGATTAAAAAGAAAAAAAGAAAAAAAGAGGTATATTCCTTTCTTATACAGGAGAATGTAAACACATAATGACACTTACTCTGTGCAAACTTAGGAGGATTGTCATTAACATCAGTGAGTGTAATTGTCACTGTTGTAGTTCCAGAGAGTCCACCCATATGTCCTCCCATGTCCTTTGCTTGGATGACAACAAAGTATTCTTCTTTGGCTTCTCTGTCCATGTTGGGAAGAGCTGTTTTAATTATAGCTAGAATAGGGGCAGGGGGAGAAGATTGTCAGATACAGACCCAAATTCAGTTTTGTAGGTATTTTTATGAATGTAGGTTAATATTGTTATAAAAACTTAATGCTAAAGATCCAGCCTCTTAGTACCAAGGAAAAGAAGAAACTAAGATTTTCCAAACAGTATATTAGTGGTCACCTACCTTGGTTTAAACAAAAATGCAAGGAAATCACAGTCAAAAATAAGAATTATTCCTACCTGTGATACTTATTTCTTTTTTCTTGATACAGAATTTGGTTTCTTTATTACCTCCCAGAGAAATCAAATGTTTTCCCATAGAAATAAAAAAAAAAATAAATTAGGAATTGTAATGATGCATTCTGCAAATAACTCCATTGTTATAAATAAAGTGACTTTAAAAAAGGATGCTAGAATATTATTTTTTTTTCATTCATAGACCTGATCAAGATATCACTGAAATATTATTTCAACAGCTTTTGAATTAAGCCTAACATAACTTTTTCTCCATTATTTTTTTTAGGCAAACAGTTTCTACTGTTATCTTATTTTTTAATAAAAAAAAAAAAAGTAATTTACATAGTTAAATCAGGCCTAGAATTGTAAAAAAAAAAAAGCCACATTTAGTATTCTTGACTCTAAGAAAAGTTAAATAATTCAATAAAGTGATATTTTTCTTAGGCATGTATTTTAATTTGTCTATTAATGTATGAAACACTCTATCCCTTGGCTATAGTTTGAAAGGTAAAAGAAAAACTAAAATATCTTAATAAGTGTCTACAAAAGAATTATGGTTTCTGACCTTTAAGGAACAAAATTTTGGGGTATCTCTGGGTGATAACACTAACACAATCTGTTATTTCAATATTCCTATCTACTGTCTCAACCATAAACCATTTGCTAGAGGCTAAGAGGCAAAGATAAATACAAGTTTCGATTTCAAACAAAAATGAAAATGTAAAAAAGAAATGTACTCTTTTAATTACCGTACCTGCAGCTGAGCATTTTTAAATATTGAATATTTCAGAATTATATGGGTTGTTACCACCTATATTTCTGTGTTCACTATCTAGAGGACTGAAATCAGCTAAAACAAAAAAAAAGCATCATTATCTCTTATGAGGCAAATTAACAAACACAAAAAGGCTCCATCCTTTCCTAAAAAAGTAATGTGATCAAGACAAAAGGCAGAGTTACGCACAGACAATTTCAAATGTAACCATTTGTTTTATTTATTTCTTTATTCACCAGTTCTCTAGTTGTGCTCACAAGAAATACTGAAATTTTCAATCAATTTTTAGAAAATGTCAAATCACCAAATTCTAAATCTAAATAATAGTAATAAGCTCAACAAATATTAATAGGCATACAGCACATTAATTCATTGACCATTCAACTCACTCTACTTCAATTCAAGCCAGAAACAAATTGAGAATAATTCAGTTTTAGCATGTTATGATGGATGAAAATGATATACGCCAAACAGAAGTGTAGTTTAAAAGCAAGAGATGAGAATTACCAAAGACTAATGTAAGGCAGGTAGACGCTTGCTGGAAAATTGTATTCAGAAAAGTTATCAATGGCTTACTGTCAAATTGGATGGATGGATGAAGTTGTTCATAGGGTTTGTTCTGCTTCTAGCATCATTCAGTATTTTCTGAATGGTGGAAGACAAGAAAAATTTATCAAGCCTTTCAGGTGACACAAAGTTGGGAGTAGTTGCAAATACTAGAAGAAGAGGATTACAGTTCAAAACAATTTTGACAGATTGGATAGTCTAAAAAAGCAGAATGCAACTCCGTTTGACAAATAAAAAGTATTTTGTGTGGGTGAAACAGTTAACTTCACAATTACAATAGAGCAGGTGACTCATGAGATAAAAAAATGTGGAGTCAAAAAGAGTTGAATATGAGTCTACAGCATTTTACTGTTAAAAGCGTTCAAGCATTTTGTGATTATACTTTAGCTAGTATATTGTATGCAAGAATGGTGGAGTAATAATCCCTTCAGTCCCCACACACTGCTGGAACACTGTGTTTGATTTTGGGTATTCCTCTTCTGTATTCAAACTGATGATGAATTAAGCAGTGAGTAAAGCAATGACTAAAGTAGCAGAAAGTCTGACAAAAAATCTGGTTCAAGTAAGTTAGAGAACTATGAGCAAAGAGTCTGCAGCCAAATATGGAAAACGTACTGGGAGCTACTCTCCTTTCCCGATGAGAGTAAGAGAAGAAACGATGGAACTACAATGTAAATGACAAAACAGGTTTAAGCTGCAGCACAAGAGATTTCAGTTAAGCATTAGGTGAATGCTTTCTACCAGAGAAGTAAGTACAGTTAGAGAAGGCTACTTATAGAATTTATAATATTTCCATCACTAAAAGTCTGTGGGAACCTATTATTCAAATACCTGTTGAGAATTTGAATGAGTAGATCTCATTCTTTTTGAAGGTAGGGTTACTTACTGAATACTGCTTGAGGTCCCTCTCCATATTGCCTAAAACTTCTCTGTGTATTCTAAAATACTTTACAAACCTTAGGCCTGTGAAAACTTTTGATGGACATGTAGTTCAAGCATAGGAAAGAAAGCTCTATCATAATTTAGCTACAAATACTCTGACTAAAGCTGGAAACCTAAGAAAGTGGGCTGGAAGATAAAGAAATCAGGAAGTAACCGATTTCTTCAAAGAATGAGAACATCCCCAAGGAAGTTCCTTTTATTTATTTATTTATTCTTTTTTGGCTGAGTTGCTTTTCCTAAGCAGCGATTGGTGTCACACTGCTCAATAGCAAATAAAACAGCTGTAGAATGGGATTTACTTTTACAGTGGTCCTAAATGCACACAGTGAGCAATTCACACAATCTGCCTCACAACTTGAATCGGTTAAAATGCACCCCCGTGGACTACTTTCAAAAACCTATTTGGAAGAATATACACTATCTCAAACTGAAAAAGATCAGGGGAAAAGAAGCAAAGTTACAAAGGCTATAGCTGATGAAGAGGAGGAAAAGCAACAATAAAAAATAAGGATCTGTTTTCCATTTTTCACTTCCCTTTTTTAAGGATCTCTTTATGGTAACACTGTAACAGTACACATTGTAATAATTGAGAACATGGACCAAACCCAAGCAAGCACTATGCAAAATTGGAATCTGAACCTGAAAAGCTTTTCTTAAGAATCTCATTTATCTCACATGTTTTGATGAAGACTTCCTGCTATTTCAGCTAGCATGCTTTGGAACTTTCCCTTCTTCATTTTGGAAGAGCTAAGTAATTGCTTTGATCTTCCTTCCACGCTAAAATCTTGGTGGAGATTTTTATTAAATATAACAGCCATTTAGGACCCAAACTACTGCAAAATCAATCTTGTAATTTCTTCAGAGAGCTGCGAGATGTATTCTTTGTACTCCCATGAAGCACAGTGACTTCAGTGATGTTTTAGCAGCCCATAAAAAATGTTCACTTGGAGACCTCTGGAAAACCTGTACCATAATTCCTTAAAAATGAATAGATCACTACTAACTTTCTTGAAAATTAAAGAAATTCTAGTCCTTTGAGGATGTTATACAGGCATACTGTTCCACTATTTTTAAATTCAATTTACCCTTCATATAAATCATAATCTTTTTAATAAAAATTATTCCCATTCCTTACTAAGGTTTAATGCCTTTAGGACTTTTATTCTAGCAAGACAAGAAAAACAGCTGTAGTGTCTAAGTTGGCTAACTTTACAGAAAAATTAACAATTACAGGAGTATCTGAACTACAGTCAGATGTAGACGTATTTCAAATCAAAGCCATTAGCCACAGTAAAAATAAACTCTAGGTAAGGAAATGAATGCTGTGTTATATAATTACCTGTGGAGTGATTCTATGCCATTTTTTATTTTTAAGAGAGAAGCTAACAGTGTGCATATTTTATTACCATGTTTATTTTTTAAAACTGTATGGGAAAGACGACACTATCTGCCTCTCTGTTAAACAAAAAGATGAAGGGCGAATACTGTTCTATTAAATCTCTATAGTTTCTTGTTTAACCTACAATCTATTATATCTACTTTTTCAGCCCATATTACTTCCATTTACATGTTTTTTCAGTTCTTGCTTTCATTTTGAAGTAGACCTTGCAAGCTTGCCTTTGTGCATAAATGAACACTACCTGTCTTTCACTAGATATATTTTTCTTGAAGAATATCATGATCAGATAACACCTATTATAATACTACCATTTCAATTCAGATGAACTTGTATCTGGGTTTTACAGCAAGGAAAAAAAATGCTTTCATCTCATACTAGAGACTTACCAGCCATTCCTTTTTCTCTGGGAACAAGTTTTCACTGGAATGTGAAAGGGTCACCCTCTCACCAACTGAGAATGAATGCAGTAAACAAACATTTTGCACTACATTTATGAACCTGTTTCCTTATGATTTAATTTGTTATGATCCAGTAATACTTGTAACTCTACTAAACACTTCAGAAAATGTAGCTTTGGACTCTTTTTCAGATATTTTCCAAATATAACCGTGTAGCTCAAACTCCTCTCTTCTAATTCAGTCTCTGGAAGCACAATATTATTTAGATATGTATCCCCAGTTCTTCTACTCAGCATGAGAAAAGTTGCTGCTCTATTTCACTAGCTTTCTAAAATGATGGAGGTATTGCTCTGAAATGCAAGAAATAAATGTGGTATCAGCCTGTTTGCTAATACTATTTCTAGATAAACTCTAGAAACAGAAATCACTTTTGTTTTTGGTTTTTTTTTTTTCAAATGCCAGTCTGTCTTGATCTTAAGCGAATCATCTTTACCATCTACAGATTGTCATAACTGCTTTCAAACCTCTCCACAATGATTTTATACTTTCTTTATTAATCAGAAAACGCTGCTTTTGCCACTGCTGCAGGACCAATCCTACATACCTTATCCATAATGGTTGCACTTTATACTTCTAAGCAAAAAGCAAGAACTGACCCTTGGGTCTGCTGCACTAGCAGTTTGTCAGTACAACACTCTCCTAATGGGCTGTCACCAAGACAACTCAGAATCACCAATGATTCTCTGTACAAACACCTTACCACAACTCCTAAGGTTGTACAGTATACTTAGTACACAATGGCAAAAAAAAAAAAGGTTCATACTAGTTTGAAAATATACTCTATTTTCAGCATTGCACCTAAGTACATCAGAGACTGTACAGACTGAGCTGAAGGTGCTGTAACCAAGTGCTAGTGACTGAGCACAGACTCCAGAAATTCAGTATGTGCTGGAGCTGATTCTGCTACACTGGGAATGATACTGCTATCAGGCCTACAAACCTATCTTCTGTCTGCTACTGCACACATCTGCCTTCTTGCCTGGGAAATGAGTTCATACACCTTATTTGCCAAGACACAACAACAGAACAACATCTGTCCATCCTGGTTCATGCCTCTTACAATTATTTCAGTTTCAAAAATAAGTTAACTGTAACTGAATCTGTAGTAATTTTCAGGAATATCACAGCAGCACTGGTTAATAAAATGAGTTAGAAAGCTGTAGTTCAATCCAGGCTGTGCCTAATGTTGAACAGGTTCCTTCTCTACGCCAATCTCACCAGGGTTTAAATCTAAACTATTCAGAAACTGAACTATTTAGAAAGGGTCTGTTGAACATGAGTTAGTTCTGTTCTTAGAAGCTCATTACTTTCCCTTGCAGTTGAATGTTATTTCCTGTATCAAAACTGTTTTCCCATCTCACTCTCATTTGAAAATGCTACCTTGTCATTTTATCATGAGTAATTACAGAAACAGTCCCTGTGCCTCTCTTTTATTAACACCTTTCAAATATTTGTACAGTGATTTCATATCCTCCTTTAATCACCTCTTATCCAGTTTATTCAAATTAAGTTCAATCAATCTTTCATTCTAAGTCATATTCTTCAGTCTCTCTCACCTCAGTTACACTGCTTTGAACTTTCTTCGGTGTCTCAGTAGTCTTTTTTTTATGACGATGTGTCTCGCCAATATACTACATACAATATTCTGGGGGCAGCTTGTGCTATTATTGTTGCCCAGCATTAATAATAAATTAATAAATTAAATTAATAAACTGGACTTTAACAACTTGGTAGAAGAGTGAGCGTATGTCATCACAAAAATGTTTGTAATTCAATAGTTGCTGTCACTTACCCTCATTACCTTACTGATTTTTATTGCTGGACTGTATTTTAAGGTCTAGAGGGAGGAAGGCAATAAAGACTGTAAATAAAAATAGGAGATTCATACCTGACTTCACCCAAATGCCATTTTCACTCCTCCTAGGCCTACTCTTTTATGTTCTGAATTTCAGAGCCACACAGTGTCTCAGGTTCAATACTGTGTTCCAGAGGGTGTCACATACTGAATCATTAAAAGCTCTGTTGGTTAAAGCATGTGGACTTTCACACGGAAGTTAAAGGTAGGCATAGAAAATGAATCAAATATTCACTCTCCAAAGAAATATCCACAGGCTGTTAAGGAGAGATTTTAGTTTTCTAGGCCTCCTTATTCTTTTGTTTTCTTCTCAGCTTTACTGACTTAAAATTTGGCCATTGTACCAAGTGACCATAACCAAGATGGCAGCATTTAAAAGCTGTTCTTTTTCATATATTGCAAGGGTTTATGCTTGAGTAATGAAATGCATTTTCCAGTGCAGTAGGGCATTTGGTATAATTCGTCTTGTTCACATATTTCAGGTGTGTGTAGGAGTGACATTATTTAAGTAAGTTCATGTGAAATGTAAATAAATGAGACGCAGCTGATAATGTATTTTCTTTGCTATTCCTATATTGTAGAACACCGTGTCACTTCATATTATATTCCATTATGATAATCTTATTTTAAAGCTGACAGTCATGATTTAATATCTTCGAAAAAGCTTAAATGTGAGAAGTATACTTTTGCTGCTTCTAGCAGTCTTAAATAAGCCCCTCCCCCAGCATTTTGAATTTCATTGTTTGGATTACAGGAGAATATATACAACTTGTATAATGCTATAAATGACACAAATTATGATGTCAGTTTTAGCAAATCTGACATCAGTTATTCAGTTATAACGAGTTATGGACTATACTGAACATTGCAAGTTCTGTTACTAATCTGATGCTATCACATGGTAAATTTAGCTTTTCATAGAAAATCTGATTCTGTCATCTTTGTAATGTATTATTTATGTTGTTCTCTATCCAATGAACCTATGGTCATATTAAAATTCACCTATGAAAAGGGAAAAAATATTCAGAACAGAGCATGCCATCAAAAAAGCATTTACCCTAAGCTGTATTCAGATGTCTGAATGAAAAATAACTTCTGAATTACCTTCTTTCATGTGTCTATAACTCATACAGAAGAATTTGCAAACTAGAACTGCAGTAGTATATGTATTTTTCATCTAATGTAATGGAAAACTATTGTTTTATGGGTCACTTAGCAGAACTTTTTTCTGTGCACCCAGTATTATAGAATTGTTTCAATAAGGAGGTTGAGAGTAATGTCAGTTTCAACCAAGAGTAATTCCAGTAAGAATTACATCTAGTTAATATCAAATTAGTAAGAAATAAAAAGCAGAAGAGTAAGAAACTGCTTCCTTGGATTTGCCCTTGGGTGTAACAGCCCTTTCTACCACAGGCATGAAGGACACCATAGACATCTTACACCTCTGTTCCCTTGTTTTCATGATGCTTGGAGTACTACAGAAAGCATGATTTGGATTATTCCTGGCAGTGAGCTCTCATTGTACCATTAAAACAGAACAGTGACATAAAACAATCTTTACTCTGAGTCAGCAAATGAACAAAATTATAGGCAACATCTTTGGTAGCTGCACAAAATCTAAATATAGTCTTGATTTCTACTACACAAATCTAATAAAAGGCCAGTCACCTAGAAAAAAATAGTTGATAAGCTCTAAGTAGCTATGCTTCAACGCTTGAAACACTCCCATGAATAAAGGAAAACATTTGCATTCTTTGGTAGCTCACGTTAACATAGTCTGTTTCTTAACATAATGATTCCATTCCAGGGAAGACACAGTTCTAGACACAGTATCTATGATCAGAATCAATTCTGTTTCAAATATATTGGAAAGATTTTTCATTTACCAAAGCTGCTAATAAAAAGTAAGCCCAGTGAAAATGTAACTACAGACTATACAGACAAGCATACAAAACAAAACAACAACAACAAAAAAACAGCTACCATGCTTGGAGAGTCACCTTCAGGTTTGTTTTGTTTTGGACAAGCTACTAATCTAGCTAACTCTTATGCTCCAATTTCTACACTTTCACTATAGTACCAAAAATCCTCCCCTAAGGAAATTTTAACTGGGTTCCTGTGTACTACAAACAGATGTGTAATGGGTTTCCTTGGCCAAGCTTCTATGAGAAAAAATACATTGGATAAATGTAAAGAAACAGTCAAACATTTAAATATTTTGTTTGCTTTGGAAATTTTCTTTTTTATTAAAATACACCTTCCAATCTATATGCCCATGTTAACAGCAATACTGTCCAAATTACAGAGAGGCTAAACTAGCGTGCATGTTTTATGCACCACTACCTCTAAAAGGTGAAATATTCAGTGCCACAAGCTACTGCAAAATTGTAGCTATCTTAGTATAATACTATCGTCATTTTGAGACTGCATGTAACAAACCATAAAACTCTCTCTGGTATGTAATAAACATTATCATACCCTTGCTCTGAAATTTTTGTATTACCAAGAAATGTGCTGCCTACTTACTTATGTTTTTCTGAAATCAATACTTCTCCTCAGAAGAACCACAAAAAGTTGCTGCCTTTTAGAGCTGTCTTTTTCACCATGCACATTATATGGCTGCATTTTCTACAGGAATACTTGTGTCTGGTTTGTTTAATGACTAGATTTTTATGTATGTTTGTTGTTTATATATTCTAGATAACATACATGGAGATAACATACATATAGAGAGCTGAAGGGCTCTCTATATTTTGACATTTAATATTGCTAGTAGATACCTTTTTCTCTAAGTGAATGAAGATATAATAAATTTTGTACATTTTAAAACGTTAAGCACTACAAAAAATGTGTAAACCCTTTGAATACCATAGAGACAGCCACATACTCTCCAGCTTTAACTATCCTTTGGCTAGCTGTAGGAGTAGCACTGTAGTTATACTACAGATGAAGACCATTACATATAGATGGCAAAGACAGACAGGATGGCCTCAGTACATAAACTCGTTCAGCTGTAATGATTTAGAGAAGAATGTAATCGATGCCCTACATAGATCTAGAAAAATAGGGAATCAGAAACCATTTATTCATTCAGAAGCAGCTCCATAATATGAAGCCACTTACCCAGGGACTGTGGCAAAACCACAGTTGAATTCTTTATGATTAAATTCCCCTTAGAAACTAACGTGTCATTTTCATGTTAACTGAACTGCTACTAAAAGGAATATTTATAACTGGAAATGAAGGTAGGAGGGGGAATTTAATGCAAGTGAAACAGGAGAAAAAATCATGATTTTCAGGTTCACCAAAAAGCTTTGGAGTTTTCTCTAGCTTTCGTGATAATGGAAATCACTTTCCTAGGTGATGAATGGTTATTTCATTGGATTAAGCATAACATTTTAATGTAATACAAACAATAAACCTGAGTCAAATTAAACAATTTTTTAGGTTTGGAATAATTTTTTTTTCAGGCCATTTCATGTGAAGGAACTGGATAATCTGCGTAGCAGGAGAATATACGCCACCTCAGCTGGTGGGAACAGGTGAGCACTATCAGTACTTTATGAACTTTCCCTTGCAGAAACAGAGAAAGAGCCTATAGCTAATCCTCCTCTAACTGAGACAGCTACAACAAATCATTCCTGCACAAAAGAATTTGTAATACAACAGAAAACAAAATCATGTATTTTTATACTTGATGGTCAGGAATCTGTTCAGAGTTTTATTTCCATGTGACTTTTGACAAATCGTCAGCATAAACTAAGGGGCTTCACTGATAACACCCCCTTGGCGTAATTATTTTTGAAATAAGTGTGTTTTTTTCACTGGACCGAAAAAGTTATTCTTTGTAGGACTATAGTTTACATTCACCATAAATTCAAATACTGAATTACATTCCAGAGATTGTTTTCATACTCAGGACAGTTTTCCTTCAACCAGAAGAAAATAATGTAATAGATGAATCCCATTTATTGATCTACACTATTTGTCAAGTCCCTGTAAGCTAGGGCATTTCTGGGAAAAGAAAATTATTTTTCCCATGCAATCTCCCTAAAAAGAATTAACAAGCTTCCAGACTTTAAAGAGTCTGACAGTTTTCTGTTGTTCAGAAAGCTTTGCACATTTCATCTATCAAAAACATCCTTTAATAATTCTCCTAGCACTTACTTCATAATCTTGTTAATCAGCATGAGTACAGGAATTTACTCCTTTATGGCTGCATAAATTCAGGTGATTTTTTTTTTTTTGTATGTTATAATATTAGTTATAGTTTTCTTCACCTTAGGAGATCACAGCTGCTTGACTACAGTGATTAAAATCTACCTCAAGTAACAGGTGAAAGAACATAAGAAATAATGCCAAATCACTTAAAAAAAAAAAAAAAACACTTCTCAGAGACAAATGCATTTTCTCGAAGTGTGACATATGTATAGCAAACAGGAGGAAATGGATTTATTGGCACTCCTTTCAGATTATTCGCTCAAGATTTTAAAACCACAGAGAAATAAAGTCATCCTAAATGCACACTAATAAAACTTCATAACAAAACCCAGTATCATGTTCTTTCTTTCCTTGATTCATCCAGTCAGGAAAAAAAAATAAATCATTTTTTAGTGAAAACACACAATATGCTCACTGAAATTCCCAAGCTAAACTGTTCTTTCTTTAACTGGAAATACTATAGCCTCATATTGAAAATTACATTATGTTCATTAAATTCCTCAGGCTACGTCTTCCAGTCCCTAACCAGTTATAAGTCACACAACACTTCCACTGCCTTCAGTTTTGCTTCAGTAACTTCTGTAATATTAGTGTTACCATTACTTGCATTACCTTTAATACAGATTTTTCTTTGTCTTTTCACATGTTCAGGCTCTGATGGGATACGTGTGAGATGTGTTGCAACTCAGTAATGCTGACAGACACCTCCTTATGTTCCCTGTTTAAGTTTATTATACAAAACATTTTTAAGAGGCAGAGCATAAATATAACCCAGGGATTCATATTCAGTTACCTACCTGTATGTGGTTCAATAGAAAAGTAAGGCTGTCCTTCCAGAATGCTATAAACCAGCTTGGCACTATTTCCATAAACTGGATCATCTGCATCTGTAGCTGTTACTTTAGTAACAAAGGTGCCTAAATAGAAAGAATATACATTAACTAATATTCTTCCTATAAGTTTGCATAACTTACTCAAAAATAATTAGGAACAAAAAATCATTTACTTGAAATTCTAAAGAAATTTGTGAGGTATAATAACAAATAAAGAAAGTAACAATAATCAATAAAATACACAATAATAACCTACAACAGTATTTGTAGAACACAAACAAAACATTTTCCTTCATGTTGTTATATGCCAGCAGACAGAATTTCTGGGTAAAGGAAAAAACCTTTTTAGAAGCTGTATCATTTACTGTTTCTTTGTAGAATGCATTTAAAGCTACCTGATAGATCTGTGTAGACTTCGAGCATTTGCAAAGGAATCATATCAAAGGGATATGAAATACAAGGTTAATAACACAATATAATATGTTGCGTTTAAGATGTGCAAAACCACATTTGAAAGCACCTTGCCAAGTTACAGTGACTGCATGGAAAAGCAATAACAAAAAGGATTCTTTTTTTTTCTCTTGGCTTGCAGCCATAACAATGGTTTGATGTGGCCACAGTGACAGTGTCAGGACAACTTGTATTGTCTCTGAAATGAGTGCCTGCCAATGAAGGGTCCATTGCCTAGTCAGAGTTATAAACTCTACACTCAGTCAAAAAAAAAATGTTAGAAAATTTTAAAGAAATTGCCCTCTTCATTCTTAGGCAACATAGCATTATGCAATTAGCAAAATCAAATGAAATTCGGTAGGTTCTGTTAAACTTTTTGCAACAACCTTTTTTTTTTTTTTTTTTTGGATGACTTAAAAAATATAATGATGACATTAATTAGGCTAGCAATATAGAAAATATCTACAGAGTGTGAGAGTAGGAGAGAGGTTAAGGGCTGAATTATGTTTCTCATGTTTAAAAGGAAAAGAATTATAGCACCCACCAAAATGCTCCCCCTTTCTAGATGTGCCAATAAAATTAGCCTCCTCTTCCTTCTCACACTTTGTGCTGCTGAATCCAAGTTACACCTCGCTTGAAGAAAGGAACAATAAATTAGATGCCATCCCATATGTGATATTGAATATGAACATACAAATCAGTGCTCTCTTCAACTGGATCCAAGCTGAAACAGCAGGTGATGTACTAGGTTTCTGTGGGAGTGGCAGCTATTATTAAATTTTTGTTTTGTAACCTACCAAGGCAGAAGATGTTCATGAAGAACATCATACAATGGGACAAGGCTGGAATAAGATAAGGCTCATTCACAGAACAGTGAACATTTTTGTTAGTGTGTTTTATCGAGTGGCTGCTCTGTTTTGTTTCCATGATCTTCTCTATACACAAAGGAAAATAAAGAAGTGAAACTGTTGACTTCTTTGAGATTGTGTTTGATTTGCCTAGCTGGCTCTCATTTCAAAGGACTTCAGAAATAATTACATTGCTTGTTTAGAAAGATTTGATATATAACATCTATTCTTTTCTTATTTCACTAGAGAATTCCTGAAGACTTTTAGAGATATTTATTTCAAGATTTCAAAATTTAAATGGGTATGCTGATTCTTTGATAAACACATCCTTTATCCCAAGTGTTCATTAGACATTAAAGTTGAATACGCCTTAATAAAACAGGCAATCAGTGTCTAGCATTGCTTACAATCCTGATGCTTTGCTCTCAAGAATTTTTTCTTGTGATAGAAAATAATTTAATCACTTACTGCGACACCAAGCTTATCTGAAATTTAAACATACATAAAAACACATACATAACAGTCAGTATTGCCATTCACTGTTTATATACACAAAAGGAAACAAAAAATAGCATGCCCTTCTTTCTGTTTTCCAGGTCACTAGAAGTGTGACTATTATCTTGTCTAATAAAACTAATGAAGAGAAGGGAAAAATAAAATAGGCGATCTCCCAGCTCCTAGAATCAATTTCTTATACTGCCAGTCTCTCACTCTCTGCACTTCATTTCCAACCATCATAGACAGTTCTGAGGTCTCTGAAATTCACTAATTTGCTCCCAACAATCTTATTGATGAAAATTGTTTAAAAAAAATGTAAGCAATCATGAAGCAGAAATTAAAGAAATTAGATAGTTAAGCTTTTATATAGCTTAAATTTTATCACCTTTAATTTCATTTTTTTGTTTTATGCTATAACTCAAGTCTTCTGCAGGTGTGAAACATGCCACATCAATATGTTCACACTGGCAATAATAAGTATATAAAGGAGCAAACTCAATCCCATCTGCAGCTGCAGAGGATGTTGCTGCCTCAGTGTTGCTTTGGTTCCACTGCAAGATACTGAGGGTCCAGAAGAATTAGTAACCTGTGCCACTCCCCTGAGGGACAGAACCCATTTCAGCTAAGCATGAACAAAAGATCTGGAGAACTGATAAAATCCTGAGGGTGCAAAGTAACGCAGAAAAAAGAAACTCACAGCCACCATGGCTATTACTTAGGCAACCTCCATAATGCAGCAGAACTCTCCAAGCTTTGGACTAGAGTTTTGGATTATCAATATTTAAGTAGGATTTTACTGCACTACAGACACTGTAGTTATAAACCACATGTATATAAATATTTTTTACATGCATAATATGCTTAAAGTTTTAAAGATAAAAATTTAGCATTCAAAAAGCAGTAACAATCCAGGAAAAGGCATTTATGTAGTAAATGCTCTTTGAAAGATAATGTTATGGGTTCAACCCAGCAAATAAACAGCTGAGGTTTCTGTTTCTGTTTAATTTTGACTGCATTTGGCTTGTGTTTGTTTCTTCGTCAATGCTACAACAAACTCATTTAGCTAGAGACTATAAATTTGAAATGGTGCCATTTTTACAAGAAAGCCACTATTATAGTCCAAGTTACTGTTGCCCTAATTACAATAATATACCAGTCTTATATAATCTGGTCCAACAGCATAATTACTGTTTCTTTTTTTTTTTTTTTTTTTTTTTTTGCACTTAATATTGCCTTCTGTAAAACAAACCCATTTTTTAGATAGATGAGGCAAATTTTAAGATGTTCAGTTAAAAATTTTCTGCATTTTCTTCTGAGGTACACTTTTGCAATGCTAATGACCCTGTGATTAAATATGGACTGCAAAGAGATTCAACAGATTTTAATTAATGAATATTTCTAATGCGATTTAGCCATTAACCATTGCTGATTGTTTTACTCTGTTAGTGTCAGATTTCAGAGTTTCTCCTTGCAACAGGCTAGCAATCAGAGCCACAATTAACAATAAAGGTATTTTTATATGGTTAGGTAAGAAAGCCTGTGTTTCCTGGCAAACTAAGATTAAAAGCCTTCATAAAAATAAGATGTGTGTGCTCAGCTAATGCTCTTCCGTTGTTTTGGCTGTGTTTTTATGTGCAAGTCAGGGTACAGATTCTGCACATTAGTCAGAAAGAAAAATGCATATGCTGCCACAGGGAGTAGGAAAGCAAAGATTTTTTGGTATGGCAGTGAAATGTGTGTACTGAAAAGAAATCAAAGTTGTATGTTTAGAGGATGTAACACATAGTCAGTGACAAAAATTTACATGAATCCATATTCAATGAAGCAACCATTTTGTTGAAAGATTGCAATAGCTGGTAAAAATAAAAAATGTGACCATGATGCAAGGACTATGTTTTCTCATTTTCCATAGGACTTCTATTTTCTTTGCTTTTCTGTGGTCCATTTTAGTTTCCTTCACTCTTTCTTTCCTTCTCAGATCTTGACAGGCTGAAATCTCCATTTCATTTAGGAGATCTGATTACAAATCTGACAGGGCATTAAGAGTATATTTGCATGAAAAAGACCGACCATTATTTACCAACTGTTTTGTTTTTCTAAGAGGATCACTGTGCTTCAAAATCTCTAGCTAGATTTTGAGTTCGGCTGATAGCAGCCATGCAGTCAGAAGTGGTCAAAGCAAAGCATTGTTTGTATTCAGCAGGTCAGATAAGCATTCTTTCCAAAATGAAGGCTTTTCTTCACTGTCCTTCTTTGCTATAATCTCACAGGTAGCATGACAGTTGTTGTCATGGTAACTATTTTTTATTGAATAAAACTGCAATAATCTCATAAAAACCTGTATAACTTCTTGACATGTAAATTATTACTGCCTCATTACTACTGCCTCAAAGCTGGAGAAAGTTATTCTTATTTGTTTTTCACTGTGGCTGATTTTTTTAAATACTAAAACATAGTTTTAAGCTTCATCATCCTATATTCTGCATGAGGACATTTCTTAAACACAAAATCTATCAATTAGAATTTTCAGTAGCCAAACAAACAAAATGTATATGGAATAGAAACCTGTGTAATGCACTTCAGAACTTGTTAACATATGCAAAATACACACACACATAATATTATGACTGGTATTTTAAATTGCAAGTCATTGATGTGTATGCAGGTATATATTTGAAGCACAGACTATGTAAACATACGTATATGTGGGTATGTTGTATGAGTGTTTTAGGGCTCTTTTGAAGATCATATGTTATTTTACTCCCTCCTGTATCAGTCCTTCAATGTGCTTATATTACTGTTAGCAGTTTCAATGCTCTAAAGGCCCAATACATGGATCAAATCTCACAAGTACCCTTCCAAAAGATTCTGTGAACCAAGTACCAGCAAAGACAAACGCAGACAACTGAAGAGAGATGAGGAGACGGCAAAATGCTGGAAATCATGCCAGGAAGCAATGTTGTGAGCATGCAGTG